AATGGTCAGTGTCTATTAAGATATTTTGGGGGCTTTCTAAAGCGAATACAAAATAGAGGCTCAACAAAAACGAGGGAATCACACAAATCGAAAATAGAGGCCCTGGTCTAGATGTTCCTGCTAGAGTTGCTCTTATTAGATTAAATTCAGAATATATTTTTATATAAAAAACTTATTTGAAAATACAAATATTTTTTACAAATCTAATTAAACTTAATAAAGCTTGACCAGCATAAACCTAATACTGACTTTATTTTTGTGGGTGTGGGTGGGGGCGGGGGGACGGAGTATCTCCGTTCTGAACTTAAGGACCAAACTGGCATACTCATACTGCCATGCCATGCCCACACAGATGGCTGAGGCAGACCGGCAAATCAGCCCACGTACACGCAAATGGAACTACGGTTTCAGGCCTACAAATTTGACAGGACCAGTCCACATACACGCGCAAATCAGTGAAACAGCAAGAACAAACCACTCATCAGTTCATGCCGCCACAGCGTCTGCGACGAAGCAGGCAAAACGATGAACAATGAACAATGAACGAGCCATTTATATATAAAATAAAACAAGCGACGAGCATGTATCTATCAGTCCTTTGCCTCTTCCTACCAGGCTACCACCACATAACAACCCCACACAAATGTCCTAAAATGAAGGAATTCACCTCTTCTAGCGGCGACCTTGGGGCAAACAACGGAGTATGGTTTGGATCAGATCAAACGGGTCAGGGACGGCCGGTGCACACGGGGACCTACTGCCTCATTTTCTTTGAGCTGCAGTCCGGGCACTTGTAGTGCTTTATGTGCTCCGCTTTGGCAGGGGTGATGCGCACACACTTGCCGTGGAACCACCGCTCACATATGTCGCAGCCGATCCAGAACTCGTTTGCGTTGTAAAGGCCGCCACAGCTTCCACAAAAGGTTTCCGTGTGTTCCTCGTCTTCCTCGTCATCGTCGTCGTCATACTCTTTGGCAGCAGGAGCTGCTGCCCTGGAATTCTTCGTATGGCCATCGTTTCCTCTCTGCACGAGAAAGAAGCAACTCATTCTGAGTAAGATTTTGTACATAAACTGGAGCAAAACCAAACTATTGGAAAGATTAATGTGGCACCTTTGATGAGTGTCTGGACTTGCCACTGCTATCAACCCCAGACCTATCTCTGCTGTGTTTCCTGTCCGCAAATGCTTCAAAGACAGAAGGAAGATCACTGATCAAGCTGAATAAGCGCTTCCTGAGAAAAAGAAAAAGCAAATTATCTAATCAGAGGCTGCATCAATTGTGTCAAAAATTAGAAAAAAAACATTTCATTTTCCAGCCTTGATCTTTAATAGTATCTTATTGCTACAAACATAGACTCCAGCGCATGACATGGCTTCAAACAGAGGAATTGCCAGTTCAAATAGACGTGAATAAACATGTCTGGGAGCAGTTGGGTATGTACAGAGAGAAATAGTCCAAATGTCTAATTAGCTTTTCTGGGGAAAAAATAGTGCAGATTGATCCCTCCAAGTAGTTCAGATTACTACGAAAGTAAGAAAACAATACATAAGTGTTCACAAAGAAAATGTTCAGTCATTAAGTTGTCAGAATAACACTATCTGGACATCATATCCAAATATCACTGAGACAATAAGCTGAGTATCAGAATACCGAGGCTCAAAAACGTGTCCCTCAAAAGATGAAGTGATGGGAAGCTTAGAATCTATATTCCAGTATCAAAAGACAGAACAGGACTACAGTAGAACAAATGATGACTTGACAACTAAGATCTACGCCTTTCGAAAGTGTTCAAGTTAAGGGAATTTCATTTTATTTTCAGGTGCAGAGATGGACAACTAAGGTCCCAAGAACAAAAGGCAAATTGGAAGTTTCGAAAAATCCCCTGAAACTGAAAATTATATGGGATCAACTGCATAAAACAACATATAGAAAAGGAATGCAGAGGAATAATTATGCATAACATTCTCACTGTAATTCTCATAAAGGAAAACTTGTGATAGAAAGAACAACAAGTGCAAATCAGCAATCTAATCAATAGAGAAGGCTGTTGAAATACACAAACCTCAACCTCCACAAAGTATGCACTTAGGAGTAAATACTACATAAGGGTCAGCATTTAAATTCTGAGGATATTAATATGAGAGGTGCAAGACGTATAATTCGATGAAAAAAACAACATTTTGCATACACACTAAAAAAGTCAATAAATACTCAAGAAAAGCAAAGGAATTTAAACACTAGTCTAGAAGGAAAAAATAGAAAATTAAGAGAGAGAAAAGCATAAATAGATGTCACTAATATACTGCCCATGTTGGCCATGACTCTACACATCTCGCGTATAATACGGTTATGTATTTTCAATGATCAACATACCTGTAGATTAGGATGTTGGCACACAATTGTTTGGGCAACACTGACTGTAAAAATGAATACATCTTAACTAAATTATGCATATAGTTTCCCACCTTCCCAATTAGCTAAAATCATTTCTAGGCAAACATAGAGCAATTGCACTAGCAAGCAAGCTGCAACATTTTAGGACGTTCTGCAAGAGTTTAGAGCTGCAAGCATCAAAGATTAAAGGATTCGCTAAGATGTTCGAATGCATTTGGAAATGGATGGCCCAGCAATAAATGTACAAGAATAATTGCTGAGGGATGCCTCTTTAAGCTCTGTTCTAAACCGTGGCATTGTTCTCCATAAAACAAAAATACGATTGATTTCAAAATTCTTAGAAGCAATGGAACATGCTGTTCTAGAGCAAGATAAAAGCACAAGATCCTCAACTGCTGCACACGATTTCTGAAATAAATAAAGTGGAAAAGGGACCAATAGTTTGGCACCCCCATAATAAACAGATGGACCATGATCTCGGCAGTACTACTCCGAGATCGGAACTCTATGAAATGTGTCATTATGAAATATAAAGACTGATGATTCTGATTGCACCATGCACTCATGCAGCATAAACAGAAACAAAAAGAAAAGAGAACAGCGTGCAAAAGTACCGATAAAGCGAACTCATCCCCAAAGCATGACCCCCAATTCACTCAAAGGAAACAAAAAGAGGAGCACAATAAACATGTGCACATGCAAACACATGCACCAAGTGAAATAAAATAAATATACATGTAGATCATAAACACGAACATCCCAAAGTATCCCAGTCACCTAGCAATCAAACAACTAATTCACCAAAATAAAAAGGCAAACAATGAAGTTAACAAAACCACAGATTCGAGGAGTGAATTTAAGAACAAGCATTCTACGCTCTCACGCAACAGCAGGCAGTTGATTGAGAAGGCGAATCGAATCCAGCATTCCAGCGTTCGTAGCAGAATAGAATTGGTACCGGTCGTTGGCGTTGAGGCGAGCACCGTAGAAGAAAGCGACGGAGATGAGCCACGAGTCAGAGTGGACCGCGACGAGTGAGAGCCAGTCGCGGCGCTGCATGCCGTCGCGCGCAAAGTTGATGCCGAGCGCCGGCTCGGGCAACTCCGGAGGAACCTCGTCCGCCGGCGGCGACACCTCCCAGGTCCCGTTGGGAAGGCCGTAAAGACACAAATTCTCCTTATCTGCAAGCAGGAAAAGGAAACGCCGATCCGTTCATTTCCCGCCCGGATCCACCACTCGACGCACGCACGCACCGCGCGAGAGCTCGCCGCGGATCGATCGATCTCACTCACCTGGGTCGCAGAAGCTGCAGAAATCGTCCACATCTGCACCGGCAACGACACGAGAGGCAAAGCGTTCGTTAGATCTGCGCGGGTCTCAGAGCGCAGCGGCCGGCGAGGCGGGCGGGGGGAGAGCGGTCGTTACCGGAGGTGAGGGCGCGGACGAGCCCCGCGCGGCGGCCGGAGAAGTCCTTGAAGATTTCCTCGACCGAGCGCGGGTTGGAGGAGACGGGCGCGGGGGGCATATCCATGCGACGCGACGGCGTCGGTGCGCGCCCGCGCGGCGGCGGCGGCGGCGTGCTCCGGGAGGGAGAGGCTGGGAGGGGCACAGCAGCAGCAGCGGCCGACGAGGCGATGGCGCACACACAGGAGTTGGGATTCGGCTGCCTTCCTTGCTTCGTCGCCAATCTTTTATTACACAAAAGGGTTCGTTTGTTTCGGTCACGTCTGACGGCCCGCGACGCGATGCCGCCTCGTGGGGCCCTGACACTGACACGGCGGGCCCGGAGCGTGAGATTCAGTGTGGACCCACGTGGAGGTGAGATCCGTGGAGTGGGTGTAGGGGACAGATAGGTGTGGCCTATAGGGAAGACGGACCCGGATAGGCTGCTGACCTGGCACGATAGGGATGTGGTACGGGCCCGGGCCTCACGATTTGCGATCGAGTCGCGGTTTCCAGATTTCCGCTGCTTCGCTAGTTCGCTGATGGATACTGCTAGTACGTCACCGAGAGCATAATCGCAGCAACGCAGAGACGTCGATCCCCACATCAATGGTTCAGAGCTTCAGGTGAACGAACAGTCCACAAGCATGTGTATTCAGTTCTACAGTGGAAGTCAGGTTCCCATCAGTAGCCGCACCGACGCTATACCAAACTTTCACAGCAGACTACCAGTTTCATCAAAAAACACCAGACTACCAGAGAATCCAGAAAGGCAGAATCATACCATAGCAAGGAATGGCCACAGCTGCTAAGGTTCATCACAGAATCATACCATAGCAAGGAATGGCCACAGCTGCCACCCGTTTGGCTTACCCGAAACCGAACCGGCTTGTTTTTTTTCAGTCGAAACAGTATTTTTCTCTCACAACAATTCAGGCAGAACATTGTTTTCAGCCAGTTTCAGCAAGCCGAACGGGGCCTAGGCACGGTGCGCCTCAACAATTCAAATTCAGATGCTTCTCAACAAAACTATGGCAAAATAACTGATAGGTTCATCTCAACATGAGGTCTGGTATGAGAGCCCTACAGGTGCACGGTGCGCCATAGGCCCAAAACTCCAAAAGCATTACAGGTTTCACTGTGGTGAGGGGGAATAGGGTTTTAAGATCTTGGCTTCTCCTTCTTCTCCTTGAAGAGGGCGAGCAGGGAAACGCCAGAGACCTTCACGACCTTGAAACGGACACCGGGAATATCTCCCACAGCGTGGCCCTTACGACCGAACCCTGCAATCAGCACCTCATCCTGCATGCAGAGAAAGGGAGTGCGACAATTAGCAGCGAACAGCGGGGAGGAGGAACAACATCAGTTACCCATGAAGAGTCCTATGAGCTGGAAAGATAGAACTTACGTTTTCCTCGATGTAGTTCAAGCAACCATCGTTTGGCACAAAGGCAGCAATCTTCTTCCCGTTCTTCACCAGCTGGACACGAGCACACTTACGGATAGCAGAGTTAGGCTGCTTAGCCTCAATGCCACTGCAAATGAAGTAATACATGTCAGGTATTGGTTAATTTGCCTGTTCTTCAGAAGAAATGGAATCTACTGTTTCGTGAACTCACATCTTTTCAAGGACGATTCCCTTTGCGTGAGATGAACCAGCAAAGGGTTTCTTCCACTCGTTGCCAAGATGGCTCTTCTTGTAGGCTTTGTCAGCCCACCTCTGGTTCCTTCTGTGGGTCTTGAGCTTGCGCCCAGCTCCCATACCACGTGTCTTACTGCAGCAGAATCACAAACGTTAGCATCCAAAACTATATGTTAACACCAAGTGTAGCACATCAAACATCTTCAATTTAAAGATCAAGAAAGATATACAGCTAAGTGCTTAAGTTGCTGCTTGCTCATAAACCATAAAGGGCTGGATTCAAATTCATTCAGCTAGCAACTAGCATAACATGGCAAGTGAAGTCAAGTCTTTGTAGACTCAGTTTCTCATACATATAAAGCTACAGGTACAAAGGATTACCAGGCTCTGAAGCAACGTTTACAAAGCAGAATACTATTAATCTGTATGGTTTAAGAAACTGAACTCTACTGATTGTAACCTCTACTTTGGAATGAGCTTCCTGTTTGGTTTTAAAGTATAGCCATGATAGTACTGTTAACTTGGGAAGCATGAAGCTCTACTTTAATAGAGCATAACAACCTAAAGACTTATTTCATATTCAGTGACTATATGAGCTAGTTATATTGAAAAGAGGCTAAAATCGCAGCGGCAGAACAATATGAAAATATCTATATTTCCATGATCATTTCAAAGAAAGCTAATATGGAAAATAAAAGGAGTTGTTGTCCTTGTTCATAACTGACAGTGATAGTAGATGTGAATATGTGATAAAATGTAGGGGGGTCAACAATTCAACACATCACCATATCTCAATGAGCTATGGAGCCACATGAGTACTACTGTCTCCATTAATGAGGGTGCACATCCATAAATCTAGATTAATTGTGAAAATATATTCGGTGTGATTTTATAAGACATTGTACAGCATAAATTTGGTGGTGCCTGGGAGAAGGGATCTGATTACAGCACTTGCTCTATGCAGCCTGCTACATAAACATAAGAGAACCAAAAGGAACTCCAATAGAACATCACACTACTCTCTGATGTTCACTAAAAAGGTCATACACTCTGATGTTCACTAAAAAGGTCATACATATCAGAGGAGTTAGACTTCACATAATAGATGGTTGCAGCAGAATTAACAGTGCTAAGCTTTATAAAAAGTACAGAAGTTAGTAGCTTTAGATAATATGGTCAATCGCTCAGCATTAGAGACCAACCATCACGATAATACACAACATCAATACACAGTTATGTAAGCAGCTGAGGAAAAAACACTATATTACAGAAGTACAAAGCATGATCAATATCAGAGGCTTAAAACAGGTAATATCGGTATACCATTGAGTCCACCATTTTAGTCTAATTAATTGATGCGCAATTTGAGCTAATTCAGTATATTATAGATATTAGAAATGTAATGAATAAGGCATGAAACTATGCCAACTCCAGGTACAAATCATGCTTCTAACAAGGCAATAGACTAGCGCACTACCAACTAGCAAATAAAACCTCTACCATAACCATCGGAAATTTTACTAGTCAACCTACGTGACTGAGAGACTTGCTACGCAGGTTTCACTTATCTGATTTTCTTGTAGGAAGACAACAAAAATTCTAGACCCAACGAACAACTAGATATAAGATGACGCATCACAAGATAACATGTTGAAACGCTGTTATTATCATCATAGATCTGGGAGAAAAAAACGAAAAAAATTCACGGAATAGAGTAGAACTTATAGGGAATGAGATTGAGAGCACAGCATCATGAATTACCCCATGTTGGATCGGCAAAGGTGATGCCTAGCTCGTAGCGAGAGTACGGCAGCCGAGCAGCCGACGGCGAGGGCGCTCGAGCAATCAGGCGGCGGCGGCGAAAGGGTTTGGGGTCAGATGTGGGGGACGCGTTTATATTCCTTCTGCTCTGAAATAGGGCCTAGGGCTCTTGTTTGGAATAAATGGGCTATGGCCTTTGGGTCAACTGAGTTGGGCCAAATTTTGTGCTATTTTCGTGCTCGTCGGCCTGAAATGGAAGGACTTAGGCTCTCTTCCGCCGTGTAAAATCGGGCATAGAGAATTTCATGATGCTCTCCAACCATCCGAATCAAGCCCACAAAACTGCTGATCTCAAATTCTTCATTTTTTTTGAATAAAAAAGAGTGTTTAGATTTGAGAACCAGGCGCAAGCCTAACGAATGAACAAATCAAACCGTACAGTCGGGATCAGGATGAGACGCGACGATGCCAAACAGAACAAGCAAAGACCGCCACGGTACTAATCCTCTGTTTACGTACCGACATGTGGTTACCAGTAACTAATAGTGATACTGTATACTGTACAGCCCTACTAATCTCAAGTCAGACGAAGACACGATGCCCTCTGAACAGAAAGACCTCCTAAGCCGTACGGCGCGCGCAATCCGTCGCGATCCTGCAGTTAATACGCGGACACGTGAAGACTCTCGCTCCCCTCTTTCAAAGTAGAGAAAAATACTATTTGTTGTTTGAAAAAGTAAACCCAGCGACGGCGCACAATTCTTTTCTTCCCGATTCCCACCGCGCACGGGCACGGCACGGCACAGCACGGATAAGTACGCACGCCATCGTCCATCCTGCAGCCGCTGCAGACGAAGGCAGCCAGGCAGAGGCAGGCTTTCACTGACCATTCAAGTCAAAGCACTGTGCCGCCCGGCGCAAAGCCATGGGTGGCGCTGTCGCCGTCCTCCGCGCCTCGGCCACCCCCGCACGGCTCACGAGCGTGCCAATGGAACCGCGGATTCGCCCCGCGTGTCCGTGACTTTTCCGGGCCCTGTTCCCGCCCGCCCGCCGGCGCCGCGCCGGTGCATTTCTAGAAACGGGACGAGCGACGTTTGGGCCGGCGCATCAGGCGCACCGCGCACGGACAGGTAGGTACGTGCGGTGCGGCGCGCGCGCCTGCGGCGGCACGGCACCATACCATACGCCGGACGGGCCCGGCAGGAAGACGGCCCGGAGCCCCGGACCTGACGGGCGTCGGGCTCAGCGCAGCAGCTGACGGGCCCAGCGCGTCAGCACGGGCGAGCAACTGTTGATATAGATAGGCCGATGGACGGTTCAGAACAGTTAGGGGTTGGGCTCGAGGCGAGAAAGATCTGGATCTGATCTGATAGTTGCCATGGCCAACCAACCCGCGCGTGCATCTCGTGCCCGCCGCGGAGACTGCCGTACGTCTCCTTGCGATTTCGGGAGCCCGGCCGCTATGCCTACGCGCGTACCCAGAGTCCCCCAGACCACAGCCGCGCAGACGGCGGGCGGCGGACGCCAGGGGCCGCAGCTCGCGCGCCGCCGCGCCGAGTCGGCGCCCGGACGGCGGCGACCATTCTACCCCTGCCGCGGGAGGGCCCCCGAGGCACTGTGCTGCAGTGCAGGATTAGTGTGGGATTTTGCCGCCAATTATGCGCCTATTGTAGCGTCCGATGCATACGGCGCGTGATTTGTTTACCGGTTAAGTACCGGCCGTACAACAGGTTGCCAGCTTTTTAAAGATAGCCGCACCACATAGGTGATTGATTCAGGAAGTAAAGTTTAACAGGTCGTGGAGACGTCGTATGAGTTGTTTGATATTAATAAAAAAATAAATTACAGAATTCGTCAGTAATTTGTGAGACGAATTTATTAAGTCTAAGTAACCCGTTATTAGCACATGTTTACTGTGACGATATATTGTTAAATCATGGACTAATTATACTTAAAAAATTCGTCTCACAAAACAGTCTCAATCCATGCATTTATTTATTGGTGTCACTTGTGTGATTTTGTCGGCTTGTTCGGATGGATATGTGTTTTATATGTCGGGAAGATACTACCGAGGATTCCGAAAATATGGGGACACACTTGATGGAAATGTTAAAGTAGTCATACCAACGTGCCTTATAAAACGACATATGCTGTTAGCAGGCAGCTCAAAAGATCGCAATATTATATTACCAACTGCACATTACTTCATTTATAAGGATCAACTTTACATTGTAGTTATAAAGTTTTGCTAACGCTTACCGCCCTGTTCGCTTGGCTTATAAACCGTACTTTTTCAGTCAACGAACAATATTTTTTTTTCTCACAACAAATCAGCCAACAGTACTTTCAGCCATGGCTTATCAGCCAAGCGAACAAGGCATACGTTCATGTCGAGACCACTTGCGCAAGTGTACCATGACAGTGCCTAAAGCTTTGCCGACCTAATATTTTAGAGCTTACTTTTCAAACAAATCAAATCTTTCCTAAAAGTTATTTTAGAGCTTACTTTTCAAACAAATCAAATCTTTCCTAAAAGTTGTCTACCACTGCCATAGTATCATGTGTTTTATGATAAGACCTAATTTAGTCTAATTAGAAAAAATCACAATTTATATTTCTTGTGTAGAATTCGTTTAGTAACTAAATAGCTACCTATTATTGTCGCATAAGATGGCGACATATAAAAAATCTACATTCTTTTGAACCACCCTTTCTTGAATCTGGGATATATAAAAAAAAAAGATAATATCAACGAAGCTGGTAAGAAAACCAACTCACGGTTAGTGCAGCTATAAAACCCATGACAAATCCCGGCTCCGGCGAGCCGGCGGGCGACACGTTAACTACCGTGGCCGGAGGCACGCGTGCCCGTAGCAAAGCTCCCTTGCACAAAAATAGTTTACCTTTGATACCCTTCACCCTCCTCGACGTCCCATCTCCCTTTCCTTTTCTCCCACTGCACTGCTGCTCCGCTGCCGCTGCCCTTACCCTCTCTCTTCTCGTCCTCCCCTCACCCCACCCCATGGCCACGGCCACCATCGCCACCATCCACTGTTCCTCCTCCCACCACGCTACTTATCGTGGCTGCTGCGCTCCTGCTCAGGCGCCATAGAGACGCGTGGGGCCGAAGCCGCCGATCAAGCTCTGCTCGGGGTGGAGCAGCATCAGGCGGTGGTGAGTGGTGACAGACAGGCAGGCAGGCAGAGTGACCGACTGGTGAGTCGAAGCTTGGGCGGGAGGTGGACTGTGGCAGGCTCCGGCGGGCCCCGGAGCGGAGATGGTGCTGGATCTCAATGTAGCGTCGCCGGCGGACTCGGGCACGTCGAGCTCGTCCGTCCTCAACTCCGCGGACGGCGGCTTCCGGTTCGGCCTGCTCGGGAGCCCCGTCGACGACGACGACTGCTCCGGCGATATGGCGCCGGGCGCCGCCACGGGGTTCATGACGCGGCAGCTCTTCCCGTCCCCGACCCCGCCGGCCGAACCGGAGCCGGAGCCGCCGGCGGCGCCGGTGCCGGTATGGCAGCCGCGGCGCGCCGAGGATCTCGGCGTGGCCCAGAGGCCGGTGGCGCCCGCGAAGAAGCCGCGGCGTGGGCCGAGGTCGCGCAGCTCGCAGTACAGGGGCGTCACCTTCTACAGGAGGACGGGCCGCTGGGAGTCGCACATCTGGTACTCAACTTCTGACCTCGCCTGCGCCCATCGTAATTACCATCTACTATTACTGTACTAATCCATCCACTTATGGCTCTTGATCACTTTCTTCTCCTCCTCCTCTCCTTTTGCTGCTGCTGCTTGATCTGAGCAGGGATTGCGGGAAGCAAGTCTACCTAGGTGAGTGCCCGAGTTCCACGCGTTCGAGCTGAGCATCTTCTATGAACTGTCGATTAGTTTTGCTGCGTTTGATTTGGTTGCGATGTGCTGATGCCCCTTCTACCCAGGTGGTTTTGACACTGCTCACGCGGCTGCGAGGTTAGTGAGCTTTTCCTTGTTTGAATTCATGCCGATTTGCAGTTTTGTGATCGATAAGCGCGTTGAAATGGTAAGTTTGGACCAAACAGGGCGTACGATCGAGCTGCGATCAAGTTCCGCGGCCTCGAGGCGGACATCAACTTCAGTCTGGGCGACTACGAGGATGATTTGAAGCAGGTAATAGTTGCATGGAAACATCAAATGGCATCTACAGTTTCTCCATGATCGATAGTTTCGCGGTGGACTGATGGGTGTGCTTTCCAGATGAGGAATTGGACCAAAGAGGAGTTCGTTCACATACTCCGGCGCCAGAGCACCGGGTTCGCGAGGGGAAGCTCGAAGTACCGTGGCGTGACGCTGCACAAGTGCGGCCGCTGGGAAGCTAGGATGGGGCAACTTCTTGGCAAGAAGTAAGCTGGCAGTAAAAAATTGACCTGCATACATAGTAGCCCCTGTCTTTCCCTTTTTATACTCGGATGAAGTCCACTTTTGACCCCTCAACTATTGGGTTCGTCTAATTTTGACCCTCAACTATAAAACCGTTTAATGCTGGCCCTAATTGTCAAAACCATTCACTTTTAGCATCTGGAAGCGGCTAGGGCTGTTTTGTCCAATGTGGAGCGGGTTTGACCATGCCAGGCTGGCGTTGACCGCCACGTAGGACGTTGGCTTCCATCTAGTGACGTGGGGCACACGCGTCAACCACCCATCCCCTCCCTCTCCATCCTCATGGTAGCGCCCCCACGCCGCCTCTGGCCTGAGCATCCCCGGCGCTGTCCCCCACGGCAGCGCCACAACCCATGGGCGAAATCCCGACGCCGCCTCCTAACTGCTGCAGCTGCCAGAGCTGTGCCTTGCCAGAGAAATCTCGACGCTGACCGTTGCCTGCTGTAGCTGCCGGAGCTACACCCTACGTGGCCTCCGCGCCCACAGCCGTAGGAGGAGGCCGGCCAGCAAGCAGCGCTGGCCCGCGCAGTCCCGAGGCCGGCTACGGCTCGGTGGGAGGCGGGTCATGGCCTACAGGCCACGTGCGCCGGTG